CTAGCAGAACTAGCAAGTTAGAACGGTCCTGCTATAGAAGGCTCTGCTGAGTGCCCTTCTCTGTGACACCTGTTACAGTGCCTTCTTCCCCATCAAATTGGATAGGTGGATCCCACATCTGTACTGCTTTCTCCACCCCTAAGACTCTTCAACTGGTTCTTGTTCTTCTTTCTTTTAATTTTTAAATTTTTGAGGCCAGGGAGATAGCTCAGTTGAATAAGAGCTTGCCTGGCAAGTGCAAGGGCCTGAGTTCAATCCCAGTTCTGCAATAAATAAATAAATAAATAAATTTTGAGGGGCTGGCCAGATAGCTTAGCGAAGGAAAGTGCCTGCTTAGGCAGGCACAGAGACTGGGGTTTGATCCCCAGTGTGCCATACCAGCCCTACCCCCAGGCCTGCTAAGAGGGCAACTGAGACTGGGCTTGGTGGCATGTGCCTGTAATCCCATTGTTTGAGAGGCTGAAGATAGAAGGATCAGGATGAGTCAGATCTGTGTAGTGAGACCCTGTACTAAACACATTAAATAAAATAAATTTTTAGTTTCTCCTTCCACTGGTTCTTTGAGCCTTGTTTTAAGCACAATAATAATGTAATGAAACAGCTGGAACATTGTTAACAAATGGATTTTGCAGTATTTCAACCCTGCTCAGAGGATACACTGTTTCATCTTTCAAATTGGTTTTACAGTTTCCTGTCACTAAGGTTGAGGAACTGGCCCTCATTCTGTGTCTGGAGCCATCTCTGAGTCGGCCTTACTGTACTCCTTTAGTCCTGCTTCTGTCAAGACAGCTCATGATGTACCACCCAATTTTCCTTTGCAAAGCATATTTTCAAGGATAGACAGAAAACAATAATGGCCAGGCAGATAGGCATCCTTTATCCAGAAACCATTATTGATTACATTTACCACTAAGAGGCTTGGTTAGATTTCTATCACTTCTAGTCACTTCTGCATATGGGGTAGCAGTGGAGGACCTTAACACCCTGGTATTATTTTCAGAGATTAACATGGCAGTGGAGGACACTGAAGGAACCCGGGTATTAAATATACCCTAATATTCATTTGTGAAAGACCAACTGATGTCATCACTTTGGACTATGTACAAATAAAGCCACAGTCAAAATGCAACAGCCAGGGTGTCTGCCCACCCACTCCTTGAACATTAGAGAACAAAGGATATAAAATGAGAAAGTACATACTTAGAATAACAGAGCTTGCAAAATCTAAACTCAGGTGTTGCATACCCCTACCACACAAGCTGCACTGTAAACCTTAAAATAAAATGAATAGCAGCCAAGATTCCTGGTTCTAGGCTTAGAGCAAAAATCCACCCGAGTGTAGTTTTCCCACTAAGATTCCCTTTAGTAACCCATCTTTGACCCTAGTTGATAAAAGTCTATGAAAATTGGATTTATTTTTGGTGTAAAAGATTTGTCAACCCAAACCCTCTGTCTGGATCCCCTCAGGCCCTTGCCTCAACCACTTTCATCTCATTCCAATGGTTGTGCATTAGTGGTGTTGGGAGGCTGGAACATGACCTCAAGCAGCTTGATCTCATGGGTTGGTGGTTCAGCCTGAAATCTGAGCACCCAGGGGTCCTTGATGATGTCCAGGATGGTGGCACGCTTGGCAGCTTGGCACAGCATCTGGAGAATCAAACTCTAGGGCAGAGGAGAAAGAGGTCTTGACTGAGTTTGCTCTTGTTCTGGCACACAGGCACTGAGCACTGGGCCTAAAAATGAAGGACAACCCATCTCAATACTAGGGTAAAAGGGCCTATAGGCCTGGATTTATGCTACAGGGAGAGCCAGGCACTCCCTGCAAAAGAAGGCAGCCCATGGAGGCCACTCCTTGCATAAACTGCTCTGACCTGAAGGGACAGAAGCTGAAATATGTTTATAAGCATGACTCAGATTGACCCTGTAAGCCCTTCCCATTCCAACAGGAAAAGGACTAGAGTGTGAGATGGCTTCTTTGTGGGAAGAGCCTTCCCCCAGACTGCGAGCCCAGGTTTGGTATTCAGTCCCCTCCACAGATCATCCCTAAGCCTCAACCCTCCTCACAGAGCCAGCACCTTGCACTCCTGGGAGATGGCATGGTTAGGTGGGAAAGTGACCTCCTTCTGAGTCCCTCTCAGCAGCTTCTTGAGATTGGTGTCATCAAAGGGCAGATGAGCGACCATTAGAGTATAGAGGATGACACCCATGCTCCAGGTGTCAGACAGGAAAGGGTTGTAGGGCAAGCCTCGCAAGATCTCTGGACAGGAATAAGCAAAGCTACCACAGTAAGTCTGGCTGACTTGAGAAAAGATGCTGGAGCGCTGGTAAGAGGGGCTGCTATGGCCAGTCTTGTTAGAAGACACCATCTTGGAGAAGCCAAAGTCTGAAATCTTTACGTTCTCCTGCTTGTCCAGCAACAGGTTCTCCAACTTTAAATCCCTGCCAGTAGCAGAAAGGTTGGTGATCAGGCTGAGAAAGCTTACTGTGAGGCCAGGCAGTGAAGGGCCAGGAATCAGAGGCTAGAGATAAGAAAAGGCAAAGTATAAGAGTTTGGATTATGACTGCCCAACTGAAGGAGCCACGGAATTATAAACAGAATGTGAGGGGAATCTTGATGCTAGAGGACCACTAGGAGTTCACTGCATAAAGTGTGTGTTTACAAGTGTTCAGGATCAGATGGTTCAACTAGAGTAGATAATGCACCTCTGTGTGGATCAGGGAGATAGAAGAAAACAGGGCAGCAAATAGGAAATGTGTATACAGCCCCCTTGAGAGCCCGAGGGTCCCAGTTTGGGTGGTCATGCCCTCACCGGTGCACGATGCCCTTGCCGTGTAGGTAGGCCATGCCCAGGGTCATCTGGGAGAACCACTTGCCAGCAAGGGGCTCAGAGCAGGCCCCATAGCGCTGGATCCATTCAAGGACGTCACCACCCTGAGCCAGCTCCAAAATGATGTACACTCGAGATGTGGTCTCAATGGCCTGATAGAAGCTGATGAGGTACTTGTGCCGCAAGATTTTCATTACCTGACCCCAGAAGAGGCAACCATCAAACCTGGGAAAGGAGAACCCTGGCTCTACTCCTAGCCCTCCAGCATCCTTACCCCATTATGTTCTCAGAATCCACCCCTCCACTTCTAAGGGCAGGATCCTGTGGCCAAACCCTCTATACTTTAGGGGGCTGGAGATGAGTTTTTGTGGGAAACAGATTGGAAGTACACCAGGGAAGTTTCCTGTCTGTCTAGTGAGATGTCCAGTTCTGGTTTGAGGGCCAGCCATACCATTCTAAGAAACTTCAAGTGTCTCAGTAATAAACTCCAATGCCCCTCTGTCCTCACTACTAACCTGTAACTCCCGGGGCATGAACTTGTTAAGGTAGTCCTCAGAGGCCTTTTTCTTTGAGATGATCTTGATAGCCACCATGACCTTTTGCTTTGTGTGGTAAGCCTCATACACAGTGCCATAGGAGCCAGTGCCAATGACCTTGCCCACCTTATAATTATACTCCTCTAGGACACTGCGATTTGATGTGGTGTTTGGTGCTGCCTCTGTGCTGTCTCCTTTCCCCATGGTGTCAGGCTTGTCAACAGAAGTGTACCCTGCTGCTCAGAAGCCTCTGTGTCCTAAGAGGACAATCCCTTGAGCCACAGAAAGCTAGGGTACCAAAAAGAAATTTGTCTCTATAGACACCTGACTCTGTAGTCACACAAGGCTGAGATGCTGGGCTTAGCCCTCTGCTAAAAACTTGAGGGAGCAAATAAGAGGAGCAGATCTGTCTCCACTGGCTGTGGTTACTTCTCCTTGGATATGGAACTCCTCAAGGTCTCAAATTCTATACACCTCACAATCCCCCTATCTGTCAGTTGTCACAAAGTTTGAGACTGAAGTGCAGTTTGGAAAGCATTCATTACTAGAGAAATGTTCTGCAGTGTGGTGACATGTCACCATCGATCTTGTCCCTTCATGTTGATTGCGCACCTGCTACATCTATAGAGCGAGTTGGAGTCACAAGCTGAAAAAGAATGGTTCATATCTAGGTGAGGTGGCACACACCTGTTATCCCAGAACTTCCGGAGGCTGAAGCAGGAGGATCATTATTAGTGTGAGGCCAGCCTGGGTTACAAAGTGAGTTCAAGACCAGCCTAAACTGCCTAGTGAAACCCTGACTCAAAAAGAAAAAAAGAGTGAAAAGAAATCCTAAAATCCAAGAATGTGTTATAGAGAGGCAAAGGAGATGGTTTGGATAATGAGCAGTCACTAAGCAGTATGCAGGGCCCAAGTAAAGTTGGAAAAGAAAGCACAACATAACCAAGATATAGTGTTGAGGTTCTCTTAGCATCTTGGATATTGGTGCTTGCATAATCATGGATAATCTGACCCAAAATGAGAATTTTCATAGCAGTGCCATGAAACAATGAAAGGGCAAGAATATATGTAAGCATGTGGCTAAAAGGTCAAAATGTAGAATCCAAACTGCACAGGTAAGAAGTGGCAACTGTCCAAGGGTGCAGGAGGAGGGGTTTGGGACTCAAATAGAAGAAAAAGTTTGATGAAAAAAATGTAGGTCAGGGGTTTTTAGACTTAAGATGCTGGGGTGATGCCAGGCACAGTGGCACTTGTCTATAATCCCAGCACTCAGGAGTTAAGGTAAAGGGACTTGTACTTCAGGACCTCGGCAGGCAATGAGGTCCTGTTTGCAAAAACAGAACAAGAACAGATTATACCACAGGTTGTAATTAATTCTCACTTGATAGTCTGACCCTGTTAGCAGGAAAGTTTTAGAGTTTTTTGTTTTTGTTTTTTTCCAGAACCGGGGATTGAACTCAGGCCCTTGCACTTGCCAGGCAAGTGCTTATTCTACTGAGTCATCTCCCCAGCCCCTAATTTTAAAGCACTATATTTCTTTTGTGTTGTTTTGTTTTTTAACTGAAAAAGGGTCTCACAATGTGGTTCAACTGGCCTGGAATTCACTAAGTAATCCATATTTCTAATATAATTAGATGAGCAGTTGTATAATAAGGAGGCCATCTTGTTCTTACCATCTTTGGCTCTCAGAAACCTACCCTTATATCCAGCATTGACTGGTGACAATTCTAGTCTCTCTTATGTATAGGTTTCAACCAGTTCTCCAAAGAAGGTGGATTTTAAAAATCATCATTAGATCTTAAAAATATCAAAACAAATTATATGCTCCTTGCGAAGCAGCTAATAAGGGATAAAGACAAGAAGTAAAACTAGGACTGGGAAGATAGCTTAGTGGCATAAGCACCTGCCTAGCAAGCACAAGGTCCCAAGTTGGATCTCCATAGCTCAGTAGAATAAACACTACCTGGCACATCTCAGTGCTATTAAGTACTATAGACAAAACTGGAAAGACATGTAATGGGAGGCTTTATAGAAAATGTTCTATAAACTTTTCTTACATGAAAAGTTTTCATTTGCAATATTCAAAAAAGTTACATTGGCAATAGTAGATCTGGCAGTCTAAGGGGGAAGATTAATTTATGAGGCTTGTAGGCTTTAGAGAACATCCAGATTTCAATCTGAATGCAGTATTGGACTTCAAAGTGGACTGGGTGTGTAGCGACACTTACAATCCCAGCACTTGGGAGGCTGAGGCAGGAGGATTACTGCAAGTTCCAGGCCAGCCTGCATTACAAACTGAGACCCTGTCTCAAAGCAAACAAGTAGACTGTGACCAAGTGTTCACCCAGAAGACTGCCATAGTAATCAAGGTGACAGGATGGGCCCTTTGCCAAGGAAGTGTAACAAAACATTGGAAGACAGAAACTGCAGTCATTTGATTCTCTGCCACTAAACTCAGCTAAATCACATGTCATCAAATTGAAACTTCTGTGAATGTGCTAAAAACAACTTTGCTTTCTACAACTATGCTCACTGCACAAGATACCCATAACCTTCAATAAAGCTTATCTCATTCTTATAACTTCTGTTAACCACTCTATAAAGACAAGCTCTTTGTAATCACTTACCTCACACTTTGGAGATTACTCCAATGGGATCTGTTAGTGTCAATAAAATTTCCTTTCTTTTCTTGAGCTCCTGGTTACCGTTGATTCAGTTTTTCCCATAACAGTTCCTGGCTTTAGAAACCAGGAAGTTGTCCATTAAAACACTATGGAAATCCAATGTTACTTTTCTTTTTTAAAAATTATTGAGCTGGGCATGGTGGCTTACACCTGCAATTCCAGCCTTCAAGGAGGCTGAGGCAGGATTGCTACACATTTGTGGCCAACCTGGGCTACATAGCGAGTTTTTTTTTTTTTTTTTTTTAACATAGTGAGTTTAAGGGCAGCCTGACCTATACAGTAAGACCCTGTCTAAAAAAAAAGAAAAAAGAAAACAATGTTGGCCTTATCCAGAGAGAAAGAAAGAGAAAATCATTGTGTAAAAAGTTCAACCCTTACTTCCTGAAAGCTCACCTGTCTATGGGGAGAATAGTAAACAAGGGCCATAATCACTGAAGTAGGTAAATAAAGTATTTTTCAAGCCATAAATCACTTGTGATTTTTATGAAATCCTTCCTCTGGTAGAGAACTTCAAATAAGCTTCCTTATATGTCACTTCCAACTGCAAGTCACTGTTGGGAGTTCTGATTTCGATACATCTTCCCTGAGGGAAGATCCAGTTTAAAGAGACAGAGTGGTAGCCCAAACACAGCGCGATTTTTATTTTTGCTTTTATGTTTTTCTCTTATTTTTCCCAGGTTCACTCTACACAACTGGTTTCTCCCATACCGCTTCATCGCTGCATTTTCAAATAAATTTCTAACACTGTTAAACAACTGAAACAGACAAAAGTAAACTTTTTCAAAATAATCTGCAATACAAAATTAACGCAAGGGCCGGGGAGATTGCTCAGTAGAATAAGCTCTTGCCTGACAAGCGCAGGGTCCCAAGTTCAATCTCCGGTACCGCAAAAAAAAAAACAACAACAACAAAAAAAAACGCAGAACGCTATGCACATTCGCAGAGACACAGGAACAAAAAAGCACAGAAAAAAGGTGGTCAGATTCTTCATTTCCAATTAACAGTAACTATGGTCTGACACTATCTCTTCTAGCCTCCATACCTAATCTCTTGCCAAGTGCTTAATGCCTGGCTCTGAACGTTCCCTGAAAAGCCTCGGGAGCCTCAGACCAGGAAAAGTACCTTCCCATCCCCACCCGTTTCTAGGGATTGAACCCATGGCCTCGCGCTAGCGAGGCAAAGGTCCTAGCACTAAACCATACCCCTAGCCATTTCCATTTCGTGACAAGGTCTCACCAAACGCCCGGTGGGGCACCAAACCTATTCTGCCTCAGGTTCCCGCGAAACTGCGCTTATAGGCGTGGACTACCACTCCTAGCAAGTAAAAACACTTTTATTTACGTACTTGTCCTTTCGACGGAAGTTTGTGTGACAGGTGGGAGAACTAAAGTGAAATTGAGGCCATAAAACCTTTTACAGGAGCATAAAGCCTCACCTCTTCAGGGCACGAGCCACATTTTAGGGTTCGCCTCAGCAGCCAGCAGCGAGTCCTTACTGGCTCCACTACACACGCTGCGCCCGGGGCGCCCACTGGGCGCGCGGCCCGCACCTCTCTCAGGCCTCTGCCCGGCTTGAGGTCGTCGGACCCACACCTTCCCTGCAGACATGCGTGCGGCCGGGCGGCGACTCTCATCCAGACAGGGCGTCTACAGCCTCACAGCCAGACCTCAGGATGGCCCCTGCGTGAGAAGCTGCCCGCGAAGCCTCCGCGAGGCCCAAACTTCAAGGGCCCTTCTAAATTCCAGGAAAAAATGCTTCCGCCGGGTTGAGGTCCCCACCGATGAGGGCGGAAGTGGTAAGACAGACGTGTCCTGGGCTGCTTTCTCAATCGCCAGGAGGCCCCCAGTGGGGGACCGGCAAGCCCAGTCTCTTGGGGCTCCTGGAGCTTGACTGGGCCTCTGCCTATAGAAAACTCACTGGAAAGTACTGGCCTGAGCTGAGGGTGGCGTCCACTATGGTCTGGCCATAGCCACTGCAGTCAGGCGCAGCCATGGACAGCCCCGTGGAGGTCGGCCGTCAGGACCTATCCAATACAGCTGCACCGTGCCGCTCTGGGGGAGACCCCGGCAGGAGCCTGAGGGCAGCTACGGGGCCGCCGAGGCCAGTGGTGCCCGCCTTGGCCAGCTATTCCCTTGGGGTGAGGACCCCAGAGCTGTGACGGAAAGAGACCCCAGAAGCTGGGCCCTCGCCCGGCGTTGTCATAGAAACAAGCTAGCGCGTGTGCACACAGATGAGGCCGGGGGTGGACGGGCTGCGGGAAGAGCAAGCGCAGGTTCGGGAGGATTACAGAGCAGAAGTCGAACCTGGCCTTTGTAGGGAGAAAGACGTGGCGGGGGAGAATGGGGGGGGGAGGGTCCGGAGGCTAATAGAGGTGGAGCCAGTGGCATCCCTTCGAGGGTCCTGACCCCGGAATCATGAGTTGATTCCCAGTTTCTGTAACTGCAGGATTCCCCCAAACAGGTTCTTCTGCCTCAAGGATGACGCTCCTAAGGCACCCTCGAAGTTGGAGCTGCCAGTGGTTGCCAATCCTGATACTGCTGCTGGGCACAGACCGTGGGCCAGGGGTGCAAGGTGTGACACACTACAAGACCGGCGATCCTGTCATTCTATACGTCAACAAAGTGGGACCCTATCATAATCCTCAGGAAACTTACCACTACTATCAGCTTCCAGTGTGTTGCCCTGAGAAGATTCGTCACAAGAGCCTTACCCTGGGTGAAGTGTTGGATGGGGACCGAATGGCTGAGTCTTTGTACGTGATCCGCTTTCGGGAGAATGTAGAGAAGAGAGTTCTGTGCCACATGCAGCTCAGTTCTGCACAGGTCAGCCTCTCCATTTGGTTATCACTTAACCCTTCTTCCCAGGGACTAACAATGCCTTGCATTTATGCTTCAAGGTGCTTTTATGAAAAATCATCTGACTTGGCTCCAAATACACCGTGTAGCAGACACAGCAGATATGATCCTCATTCAGTTGACTAAGACATATTCTTGCTCAGAAGTGACTTTTTATTTTTTTTATTTTTTGGCTGAACTGGGGATTGAACTCTGGGCC